CGTTTTGTAAGTCAATTAGCTAACGAAGATGAATTCTTTTGAATGGCACTGACTCATTATGAATCAAATTAGGGAAAAAGAATATTGTTTATATGTCTGACAAAGCCTTTTAGGATACCAAGATGACAACAATTACTTTTGTAATAAAAGATCACTTTTGTAGCAGAAGTGTAGCTAGAAGGGTATCTGGGGTGCTACTGCCCTTCCTGAAATTAGTTTTCATTCGTTAATTCCCAAAATTGTCATATCAGTGCAACCAAGGATGGAGCCAATATTTTCTGTGAAACTATAAAACAATATGCACTCAAATCTTTTGCGATTATTGTGCAAAATATACTTTTTAAATGTTTTTAAAAGTGGACATAGTGTGCCTCACAGTGGTTTGGTCCAATACCTTCTACTTTATTTTGCAAAAGTGAAAAGTAATGGATGTGTAAAACATTTTTTTAAACTAGAAGTAAGTAATTAAGTAAGCAAAGAGCTTTACAAATCTGTTAGACCACCACCAGGTGCAGGATTATGCCACAGCTGCCCTAAATTAACTGTATTGGTAGTTTTCCAAAAGTTAAACAATGCGAAAATATGATTTCTAAATGTAAGGTTTTATTTTAAAAATACCAAAGAAACAACATCCCCCCCCACATACCAGTCTCTTAACCCTCTAGGACCTGGTATCCACAGATGTAGACATTACATTTTAGTTTGTCTAGACCACAATACAACGTTTTGCCCAATTAGCCCAAATAGCAAAGAAAAATTAAAAATACATGCCATAAAAAAAATGGGTCTTAGGAGGTAAAAGTAAATTCAGTTTGTCTTAAAGTTTGTCTTCAGTGAGTCTTAAATTTAAATTTTATTTTGTGTTTTTATGACAGGTGGTCTAATTAATTTGTTAGGCAGTGTAAGTAAAATGTTTAGTTCTATAGCACCTTTTAAATAAATAACACAAAGTGCTTCAGAACAAAGATACTAGAACATGAAGACGAAATGTTCTACTGAAGCCATTTTTAAAGGTTTTTAACTGCTTTTTCAAATTGACCACTTTCGGGATTAATAAAGTATTCTGATTCTGATTCTGAAGTCCATTGATATAAGGCTGTTGCAATACTGTCTCCTTTAGTTATTTTATTCATTTATTTATTTTTTACCTTGTATGATACACAGCCAGAAGGCCCTGAATAAAGTGTATTTGATCATAAGACTGCATTATTTTTCTCAGCTTCGTTACCTTGAGGCTATTCTTGTTGCCACTGTATTGTTAAAGGGCAGCTGCGCCTCCTGATTTATATATAAGAAGACAGGTTTGCCCAGTGTTGAACTCATTATGAATTGTTAAATTTATTATCTTACAGTCATTTTTTATGAAAAAAAATGTTAAAGGTGCAATATGTAGAGTACTTCATTCTAGAAGAGGTTTACCTTTTCTCCCAATTCTAGGTGGTGATGCTCATGCTTTTTTTTATGTTCTTATATTTCTGTAATAATTGGACATTGGATCAACGAGCCTTTGCATCTACCACTGCCTGATAAACATGTAGCAGAGGTCCTACAAGATCTTGCTTTGCTGCATGGCCCTGGCTTTAAATCATCTGGGAAATCCTAAGTGGTTTGCCGGGAATGCAGCAAATGTGGCAGTGCTAGGCTAAAAACAAACAATATCCTGCTCACTCTTCTGTTAATCTTCTTCTCCACTGATGCCTTACAAAAGCCGA